AAAAAAATATTTCTTCAATTTTAACTGTTCCTGATACATAAAATAAAATAGTTAAATCTGAGAAATACAAATAAATTACTAAAAAAATTCAAAGCACTATTCTGTGGTCTGCAGCAGCGATCTGAAATTACTGGAGAAATTTTTATCTACGGTATGTTGCAGAGGTCTAAAATGTCTGGAGAAATTGGACGTTGGATAAAATAGTTTTTTTTCCTAGGGTAGGTGGAAAAATGGAAGAATTCTAAAAAATTTGCCAATATAAATATGTTATTAAATATACAAGGTGTTCCGGTAAAAGTCGAGTACAAATAGATGAGGTCAAAATAATATCAGTTCTTCATATAAATTTTTTTCATACGAGCCTTCGTTAACAAGTTACGGGCCCTCAAAAGTAAAAATTAAAAAGTTATTTTTATTTAGTCTCTAAACTATTAACTTCAGCATAATGCAAATTTGGTGATCGATAACACATGTGTACAGCTTGTTTTTGATGTTGTAAGTGGAACTTCATTGTGCCCAGGACGCCAGGGACGGACTGTGCCCAATGGTTAACAACCCAGAATTTTTGCATAGATGACGATTGCAATCTGCCTGTATCAAAAATAAGTTCCCTGAAGAATTTGCCAACGATAATACCCTCTAGGTGCAACTCGGTAAAATTAATAGTTTAAGAAATATTTGTGATTTTATGTCATAGTGCACATCGAGAGGCGCCTCCACCATTTTTTTGTTTTCATTTTTAATTGGACATAATTATGTTATATTAGAACCGTACATATTTTTCAAATAAGAGCTAGAATATCTTACTGTCTGCTAACGTAATTTTCGCTAACAAATTTTGACAAACACACTTTACACAACACAAAATAGAAAAACAAAACAAGAATAATTGTACTTTACTTTTTTGTATCGGGACACCCTGTATAATAAATACCTTCAGAAATGATTATAATAAAACGATCATTAGGCCATATGTTTTTAGAAGCTAATAGAGATTCCGAGTATGTTTCGAATGATCAAGGGCATGTTGTTCTGAAATCAGATGCATGGGATCTGAAAATCTTCCTTTTACAAATAAAATTTCTTTTTCTCAGCACGTTTTTTTTATGTCGAAATTTGGTAAAAAACATTTTAAATGTTTTTTTTAATTGCAGTTTGTTTTATCGTCGTTTATTCATGAAGAAATATATACCTAATAATAGCTTTTATTAATTTGTGCTCGAGTTTTACTAATTTGAGATTTGGGGGCATCTCGAATACATAAATTTAGTTAAAATATGTTCATGCTTGATTTTTCATACGTGACTGAAACTGAAACTTGTTAATATCAATGAAAAACTATGATATACTTAATTACATTTTAATTTATTATTAATGAATGAACACCCTGTATATTTGGGAAGCTCTTAGGGAAAAGTAGTATTCGTCCTAATAAAATAAAATTATAATACCGTCGCAATTTGAAGTAACTGAAGTTAAAAAAAACTTACAAGTGTAAAACCTGCGACACTAAATATTATAGGTTTATTGTACCAGGTAATATGTTGTAATTCTGAAAAAAGTCAAATAGTTGCCTGGCATTTCTCAAACGACTGTAAATAAAAACTGTTTAAGTAAAAGTATAGTGAAACTGTTTCTGCTAAAAAAGTGATATTATAATTTATTCCCTAGAGTAATAATAACTTAGGCAATTAATTTTGTGTTATTTCTAGATCTAACGCTCGTAATATATTAGAAATTGCAGATACAGTTAATTTAAAAACATAACAAAACTTTTACCGACGTTTTGCAAGAGTAGAACGATTTTGTTTGGTTTTATTGGAATTTATTTAACATCGTATTTAATTAATTTTATGATAATTGCATCGGATATTGTTAAAAAATGGTTACCTCGTAACAATGGAATTTTCACAAACAAAAACGGACTGAAAATTATGCTTGAATACAATTACAATCACAATAAGTGAATGAAAACAATTAAAATTAAAATAACTTTGAAAAAAGCGAAAATATACAAAATTATTAAAACTAGACTGAAACTAATAATGTTAAAATATTTGCTGAGCACATAATTCAAATACTTTTTGCTTTACTACTGGTAGATTCAATCTAGTGCGTGTGATACAAATCTGATACTTGTATCAAACATCAAGCGTCCCTCAGGGTTCAATACCTGACCCACTGATTATTATTCCTTTCATTAATGTTATCGCGAGTAATTTTAACGCCCACATTTTGCTGTGTGGAGCTTGTTCAGGGTATGGTGTGGCACCTTTAAATGTTTTTAAATATGAAGCCATGTCTTTTTCCCTTAAAACTAATTCTAGCACGTGTTAGATAGACCTGGTGGAGTCAAGAATGTACGTGTTACATTTTCTACATTTCTACGTGTTGCTGAAAGCGTCACAAAGGCTCGTAAAAATTTGAGTTTTATTTTGCTTAAAAGTAATTATTTTAAGGATATCGCACCCTAAGTTGAGGTTTACCTCTGTGGTTTAGTCTCCTTATTGTAACTGTCACATATAACATCGATAGAGAAAATGCAAAGGAGATTTTTTGAATCGTCACAATTTATTCTGATTGGGACTTTGCCATAGACAACTTTATTAGGAGAAGAATTATATACTCTGTAATTTTCTTCTATAATAAAATAGTTAATCACAATATTGATTGCATAATGCTTACGTCGCACATTAATTATCTTGTTCCTAGATGAAATGCCAGATCTAGTAATTTATTTATTATTTCTCCTTTTCGCATTTGTAGTGGTCTCGTTTACAATAAATTATGATTCATTCTGTTAAAAAAAGGCGGGACAAATTGTTGTTTAGCAGACATTAAAAGATTTTGATGCTCTCGTAGCAAAGGTTGTATAATTTATAGTTATTTTTGTATTATCGTTTCGTTATTTATGTACACATAGCACACATATTGTTATTTTGCTCTATTTTTTTTAATTGACAACAGTTGTTTTTTCTAACACAGTTCATAGTTTTTTACTGTAATTTTATTGCTATATACACATTTTTGTATTGTTAAGTATTTATTTATCCTATATTTGGGTTTCCTTCCCGTTGAATGAGTTAAATTAAATTAATTAAATAAATCAAATGAGAAAACCTAAATATCTGGCAAACTCAAATAAATACACTTCAACATACCTCAATCAAATCGAAAGGATGTTACATTTTGCAAGAAGAAAAAGAAGATAAAATACCAAAATATCTGTGATTGAGAACTTTGACCCAAAAGATCAGTTTTTTCATGTTTGAGCAAAAAGTAAAAGGCGCATCCTGTTTATTCCTGGAGATATTTAATATTTACAGGCTGTTACGGATACCATTTTTTTAAAATAGGAATTAATTAAATTAATAATGATTAAAAAAATTGGGTTAGTATAACTTTTATTTTAAACATGTTTTTTATGTTATTGATATTACCAACACTATATACAGGCTGTTACAAATTCACTTCTCACTACAGGGATCTCGGAAACGGTAAGAGATACGAAGTAGCTAATATGGCGGCAAAATTGCTCAATCAGGGGACCAACATTATGCCTCTAAAAAATCAAGGCTAACATGATTAGTTTTCGAAATATTTGAAAAAAAAACAAAATTCTGGAAATCCGTTTTTGTTCTATTTCAGCCTTGTTTGAGGCGAAAAAATAAGAACCCTTTCTCATGGTCACTTTTTGCCCTCTATCGAATGGCATAATCAATTTTTATATGTAACGTTTCGTCTCTCCAGGACCATCATCAACTTCATTTTTTAAATTCTACCCTGTAAATTTTATTACATTTTTTGCAAGCCTTCATGACCCTCAATACTGTACTGCCTCAGCCCGAGCCAGATTCAGACGTTTTGTCCCGAAAAATTCATCTTCATTGTATTCGTCCCTTTATCTAAATTTTTTATTTAGATTGTTCATTGAATAATTGTACAGGGTGGGCAAATAAGCGAGGTAAGCGGCTGTATCTCAGAAACTAGTGATCGTAGAGAGCTACGGTAAACAAATTTATAGGTAAAGTGGGCAAGGGAAAATGCTGGAAATTATTTTCAAGTTTCCAAGATGGCCGCCAGTGGGCGTTTCCACCATATTGAATTACATAAAGTTACGTTTCTCACGATTTTCCCCAATGAATGTAACAAAAAAGTATTTGCGTTTTAATGTTAACTTAAAGTCGAACATTTTTTGTAGAAACAATTTTTCTCTATCTTTCGAAATAAAGTGGTGGGGGGTATTTGAATGTTGTTTGAAATAAATGCCTGTAACTTCGAAACGGCTTAATGGATTTGGATAAATTTGGTATCATTGAAAAGAGCATTTCTTGGGCTTTTAGGTTTCTCGTAATCATGACAGTTGCGACCTACACGGCCGCCGATAGAGGGCGTTATTCGATATTATAACCAAAATATTGGATTTTCTCAAAAAATTTAAATGCGATGATATGACTTTTTTTAGACTAGAAAATAGACAAATGACCAACCAATAAGCCTGCGCAAACCGCATCTTAATATCTTTTTCCTAACTCAAATTATTAAAAAAAAATACTAAACCAGGAAAATTCATATATCCCCATTTAAAAATGCATCGGTTGCTTTCGATAAGAAGGCAAGTAGTAGGCCATGGACACGACAATCGCCTAACAAAAATATTGCCAAGTAACGTCAAACTTTTGTCACACGCAGCCTAATATTGTTGATTGCGTATAATTTGAGTACTTTTTAATCAAAATGCCTCTCACAAATAATGAAGCCGTTGACATGATTGCGATTTATTTCGAGTGTTTTCAAAATGCAGCTATAGCTGCAAGACAGTACGCGGCACGGTATCCAGATCGCCGTCATTACGGGAGAAGAATGTTTCCGCGCNATATATATATATATATATGGTGTGTATGTGTGTGGATTGGTAAAGTTATAAGTTGTGTGATTTTATATTTAAAAGAAAGTGCCATAAGAATTATATACTTTCTCCGATAAATGGTAGTTCTCACCGAAAACAGCGACAGGAACGACTGAAAAGGCGGTAATCCAAAAAGACAAACGTCACTGCACTGTCACAAAAGTTTCATTACAAACACCAAGTCAAAAATCACATGCAGCATACGTAAACTGTCATTTAGACCGTCGCAGCATAGAGGCTTAACGCTTCGTGGACATCGAGCAACTGAAGAGTTTCGGTTTTAGATTTCTACATGCGCGCGCTGGTCTCAGTGACGTCACGACGTAATATGACGTTGAAGTGGGTTAGGCTTGTCTCCACTGCTCTAACTGTTTCCAAGGTAAGTGGCAATCTACTTTCTTTTCGTTGCATTGCGCTGCAATGGACTCGACTTCCCAAAAATGTCAAATATTCCTTGAGACATAGTGTCGAAGGAGCGGGAATTCACTTTTGATCGAGAAATTCCGCGCGCTGATCTTTTAAGAAAGAAGTTATCTCGCGAAGGCTGGAAGGCTTGCCTGTAACTTCGTCCCTGTCTTTTGTTGCATAAACGACCTCGCTCAGATGAAAGTGGCATAGCAGTACAGTTTTCACTTTCAGTTTCCCATTTGTATAGCTGTATTAAATACACAAAGAAGTATAAAGGGTATTGTCTGTAATTATTTATTTGCAGTTACTATTTTTAATTGATTGGATATTTCTGCCGCACTGAAAACAAAATTTTTAATAAATAACCCCTATGCGCCAAAAGGATAAGTCGAAGGTTGATTTTATGAATTTAGTTTTGTTAACCACAAATATCTCGCACTAAAAAAATAATAAGTAATTCTACTGCAAACTCCCAACGAATTACAGCCCCTTAAAGTTGAGGTAAAAATAAAAAATACAAAGGACCACACACCTTATGGAAATTGGTCTTTCGGTGAAATTTCCTGAAAAACTGATATAAAAATTATAATTTTAAAATACTCGAAAAGACGCTTCTTTTAAGAACAAAGTTAAATTCTGTTTATTGGTTCTCAAGATATAAGCGGTCAAAATTTATCGGCATTTACCGTTAATTTATAAACAATTTAGCAATAATCTTTTGATCCAGTGGCTTCGTTTTTTCCGAGTTCGAAGCTGGAAAAAATTTTCATATCCACAAGTTATCGGCAACATAGATAAATTAGAAAAGTGACTTAAAACACGAAAAGTGGGGTAGGGGGCTTTCGCTCCGAGACTGAATTCGGAGGTTCAAAATGCGAAGGTATGAAAAAAATTACATTATCTCAGCTTCCAACGAACCAATTTCGATCTTTTTTTTAAATCCGATGTCTCGCGAGCCAAGGAATTCGAATATTGTAATACCAACTGTCTAATTTGTACATTTTTGTTATAAACAAAGTTTATTATTTATGCATTAAATATACTGTATATTTTACCCTATGCTATTGCATTTTTTCAATGAAAAAATTTGTTTACGTATATATTTCAACACTGAATATGAATATATTTAGTTATAATTATTACAATTATTTAAATAATTTTTGTTTAATCAAATCAAAAATTTGTTTTTATTAGGAAATTATTTTTTTTGTTAAATACAGATAAAATTAAGAAAAAATAGTACTTTAAAATTATAATTGTTGAAAAAAACTAAATTGCAAATTGATAAATGTAATCTAATTGTTTAAAAATAAAAAAGTGTGTTAACTTTAAAAATTTACTATGGCCGACCTAATCAATCGATTTCAATTTCCCAAAAACCATTTGAAAGGTTGAGCGGTCTTTTCTAAGCGAAAAAATTTTCATGTATTTAGATGCTTTATTTGAGGCTGTGCAACATTTTAAAATTTCGAAAATTTTTTTCCAAAATTTTTTGACAAAATTAGGTATTTTGCGAAACTATAGAACCGATTTTAATGAAATTTGGTGTGTTGTTTTATTATACTCTAAAGTTTTTTTTTACCAAAATTAGAATGCCCTCGAAGCAATTAAAATATTGTTAAAAAATATCCAAAAAACTTGTTTATATTGCCCTTTTTTCATCAATTATTGTTATTTTGCAACATTAACATATATTTTATAGAAATCTGTGAATCATAAACTAAACATAGTGCTTTTAAAAATTGTAACAAATGTAACTAATACATTGTATTTAGTGTAAATTAGTTTTACTTACAATTAATAACACCCTGTATAACTTACATCTAGATGTCACATATGGGGTAGTCAATTGTTTTTTCTAAAAATATATGTTTGTACCTATACATCAAAGAACCGTAAATCTTTTATGAAAATTTTTCTGGAGAGTTAAAAATATAGAAATTAGTTCATTTGCAGATTTATAGTGAAAAAAGGTTTCCTTGACTAGCCGATGATAGCTTGCGTAAAAGGAGTTTCACAGAATGTTAACAAAGTAACTTGTAACAATTGTCCATTATGCAATTCATCGTTGTGAACGAAGTTAACTGGAGGATATTTTGGCGGTACCTTTTTTACAAACAAAAAAATATATCTGACGAACTTTCTTGAAATTGCCGTAACCATATTTCCATCATGAAATTCAATTTGGTCCAGTTAGAATCACAGGGATTTTCGTAGATCACATACGCACATTCTGGGAATTTTTTAGAGTTTACTAAGCCGTGTTTCATCTGAATGGAATGTTAAATGTAATGTTGTCATTGAGTTGATTGTGAAAAAATACCAAAGCGAAACCTTGCATAATCTAGCAGTAAGAGTTCTTGTAGCCGAACAAGTTTAATTATGTTTTAATTTTTTAGGGAGGCTAAGTTTCTTGTGAAGTCTTTCTCAAACGACAATATACTACTTTTTATCATGCTATATAGTATTAATTATTATTAGTAATAATAATATGTCCTAATTTGGATGTTCAGTGTGCGTCTTACAGCTTTGAATCCAAGTCTTTGGGATAACTCCATGTAGCTCCCAAATATGGAACATCCTGTATTTACTCAAACTACTGTTGCATTTTAGGAGTTGGCACCGGTAAACTATTTCTTGCCTTGCGTCACTTGTAGGGTGTTTACATTTTTTGCATTCAAAATCGGTCTCTGCAATGACGCATACTTATCCGATCTTTAATCGTGACTAAACAACACCGTGAGAGAAAATTCTATTATTACGATCAAATATCCTGGATCCTAGTAATTCATTGCTTCTGTGCAATTGCATTGGATGAAAAATGCACCTTCTTTTGTCCTTTGCCCCTTTTGATGAAGATGAAGTTCAACAACCCAAAAACAACATTGCCCATAGTTCGAGTTTTTACCTTACTTAAATCTTTATTTCTGCAGGTATAAAAAATTAAGCTTGATATATATCCAGCTTCACGATACTACATTTCGTAAATAAGTCTGTAGAAACTACCAATTATTCAAGATGCCATTTATAATGTTGTAAATCCAATAAAATTCTTCAGATTTTCTAAAAAATACAGGATAATGCATCACGAAGCAAGTGTGTATTTCAGACATTAAAATATTACAATTTAGCCAAACTTAGTCGAAAAGTTGATATTAAGAGAGATACGGGGTCTTAAGGTACCGTATTTTTACGAATATTTCTAATAACTTTTACAATCGTTGAGATACCAATTTCAAATTTGGTACCTACCAAACGGTTTTTAGATATATCACATTTAAATATCATATCATTTTTGAGCCACTTTATAACAGGCATTACATCTTTATGTACATCGATTTATGTAAATACTTGTACAGGGTGAGTCAACGCTGTGGCAAAGTTGATTTATCGCTAGAATATAATTGAGGCAAAATATTTCAAAATAGGTTCGGATGCACATTTTAAAAATAATTTGATTCATACAGTGAGATTCGTTTTCGGAGGGCTGACCAAAGTTGTATTTATTTTAAGTGGAACACCCTATATTTGAGTTGTAAAAAATGTTTCTGCCAATGGATTTTTCACACCTCGATTTATTTACTTTTAAAATATGCTGTCCGAATTCGTTCGAACACACTGTTTAGATTATTTTGTACTAATAATTGTGTTAATATTATATTGTGACGAATTTCTATAAACAGTAATAAACAAAAAAGTAGTTATGCTTTTCATTGACTTTTATATGTTTATATAGGATTTCACTTACCGCCTTCTATGATTTTTGAAATTGCATTTACTCTTTACAAAAGTCGTGCTGGATTAAAATAATCTAATTATGTTTTGATGCAACGGCAGGTACACAATTTACAAAAAGGTTAAATAGAATTAAATTGTTACCCAGGGAAGTGTGAAAATGATAGCTAGCGAAGAATATGGTTTTCAATAGAAATCATTACACAGTTACGCTATACATACTACTAACATACTTATAATTACATTTGAGAAAGTTGATATGGAGTTCCAACAACGCGGTTGAGGATTATATTATTTAATTTTCGTCAGTGGCCTATATTCGTTATGTGGAGAATGTATCGTAACTTTACTGATTCGTACACTGCCTGCAGGGTGTTCATTTTCAATAATCTTATCAAGTATCATATCGCCGGCGAGTAGCTAATAAACTGGCTCAGTGCAATCAAGCCTTAACTCAGGGGTGATTTTTTGGAGATAATCTAACTCGGGGGTAATTTTTTATGAAACAATCTAACTCTAAAATTTTAAAGAAAATATTATTTTATTATTGTTTATTCTGTGTAAAATATAAAAATCTTGAATGTATATATCTTAGTTATATAATACGAAAGTGGAAAGAGCATTACTTGTCGTAAGAGTTCAATGGCGAGAACACACTCTGGTCAGGAATCCCTCTCTACTTAAAGAACTGCAGATACCCAGGGTTGACGTTCGTACCACTCACGGCAACATCCAATGTCTCTCTTGCGGGTTTCGTTTTGGTACGGCTCTCTGGACCCTAGGTGGATCCCGCGTCTTTCTTTTTCGGTATCTTAGAATTTGAATTGGAAACATCGATGAAAACATCTAATTCCCGCGCCGCGTCGTTCGAAAGGGGGTTGTTGACGGCATCGGCCCTCGTCAATGTCGACTATCGTGGAGAGAGTGTTTTGTGACTACTGGGAGCGGTTTGGAGCGTGACGACGAAATTTTGTAAAGGTAGGTGAAAATTCAATATTCCCGCTGCATGCTCGGCGTCGCCACGCTGAGGATATAGGTCCTTTGAGACGTCGTTTTTGACCCAAGCTACGATCGATTTGGCTTGAGGCGTTTTTTTCCGGCTTTTGACGTCAAATACGAATTTTGTATACCAACTTTCGAGCTCTAGTTATAACAAAGAAGAAATCAGGAACAAACAATTTTAGCAAAAGAAGAATATTCTTTTTTAATAAAAAAAAATGCTGTTTTCCTACATATATATAGAATATTCACATTTTTAAACGTATGTGCAAACTCTCCTGTCGTAATAGTGTCTTACTCCCTTTTTCACTCCTAAACGACGCCGATGGTCTCATAGTATCGCTAAATCGTTGTACCTATTGTAAGGCACATAATTTCTCCCTACAACGAGATTACCTATTGTACTAGGATAACAACGGTATCCGCACATGTACGTCGTCCTCTAGTTAGTTGTTTTGGTGGTGGTGGGGCGTGTCTTCTTCAAGAACACGTCCATGCACTCTTTGAACACGGCCTTGTATTGTGGCCTAAAACACAAGTGATAACTTTTTCTTCAGAGGGTCGCTTACCTCTCTCGCGACATGCGTTTTCTTAGTTTTTCAGTTAACGTCTTCGTGTTTGTATTATTTGCTTTTGAGTGATAAAAAATATACATACCTCGTGGAGGAAAAGTATGGAATAAATTCATTATTTTGGAAACGATGTTACGCATTTCAAAGACGGTCTTTATTTAATTGATTGGCAAATGTGATGCACATGAATAAATTATTTCATTCATAGTAATGTATGATTGCATATAATAAATTTTCGTTACTTTCTATGATGGGGAACAGTCATGAATCGCCCGAATCCAGAAAGGCCACATGTCAGGATTCAAATCGAACAACAGCCCTCGAGAATTCGTGAAGCCACTCTGAACTGTGATTCAACGTCGACCCGGGAGTTCGGTAACCAGAGCGGCCAGGGTGAGTACACTACCCGAATTCAAGCATACTCGTTACTTTTTAACACCGTGAAGCCGTCCATATTTATTTGAAAACCTCAGTAAAAAAAGTGCAATCCCCAGGTGTATCCAGGTTATACAGAACATTCATAAATGATCACAAGCTCTATAGGCAAAACAAGAAGGAGGGCGTCCTCTCCTCAGGTCCAGACACATCAGAGCCTGAGCGAAACAGAGAGAGCTACGATGGGAAGGGTACAGAAAGCGCGTTTCCAATCAATGTCCTGTGTGTGATGAGTCAGGTGCGTTGTTGGAGGATTACGCAGGAACCTAATTCGTTGAACTCGAGGCTACACCGGCGAGAGTCGGTGAGGGGCATGTAGAGAGGACGGGATACGACGATCTGTACGACAAAATTTTATCAGAATATACAAGGTGATTTGAAAATTAGAACCCACCTTTAGGATCCAATTTCTCCGTTAGACGGAACATTAGGAAAAAGTTATAGGGGACCAAAAGTTTAGTAGATATTTACTAGACTGTATAAAACACATATGAACATTATGAGGCGCCAGAATATTGTATCGGATTGAACAAATGAATATCTTTGAGAAAAACTTTAAAAATATGGGAAAAACACATAAACGTTTTTTCTCATTTTTAGCCACTGAATGCAACGTGCTGAATTACTCAGACTTAAAAATGAGTGTAATAGTAAACAGAACTTTATTGATATGGTTTCTTTGCAAAGATATTTTCTACCAATTCTTCCCACACACCCGTTTTTAATCGCGAATTTATAGGATCCTGTTTTTGTATTTATTTCAGTTTTAAAATGTCCGAAAGCCCACGCGAAATGCGAGTATTGATACGAGCCCAGGGAAACCAGCGTGATACGCTTTGCGATCACCGAGCAGCATCGCGACATGACAATAAATCTGTGGACTGTAGAGTTATATGAACGTGTACACACCAAAACAGAAGTTCACTTGTTCATATAACGTCAGAGGTTGTATTGTACATAAATACCACACGAGACTGCCCGCTGCTCGCGCCTCTTGCCGCGTTGGTTTGAATGGGTTTTAACGAGCACGATCGCTATTGCATTATTGCAATGAGAACCTGGGTGCTGAAATCAATTACCGTTGCCATTATAAAGGTAACATTTACATCCTACGCTTTTTCAACGGTTAGTTTTCCACAGGCAACAAGTTTTTAGTTGTTCTTTTTATCTTTTTGTATGTCATTCAACTTGTATTTATTTATTTTCTTTTTTTTTAAACCGCTGACCAAAATTTGTACACTAAAATACTCACTTTCATAAAAAATTACTCAAGAGAAATATATACAAAGAAGAAGGGGAAGATGACGCATGCGCACATCATACATCTGACATAATTATTTTATACCTAAATATTACTTAAGTATTACTCAAATATTACTCGCTATTAACAAATATTACTCAAGCTTGTACACTAAATTGCATCTCCCCCCCCCCACTTGTTTTATTATGTTGCTCCCTCAGGATCTCCGTCGCAGGCTTAAAAACTCTGAACGGTATGGGCTACTACTTAGCCCATATCTCTGGTAGCCAACTAAAGCTATGGTCTACGGCTAGCGTAAAATTTGTATAAACTTTTAACAGTTTGAATTTTATAAAAATTGTGGAATTTATTGAAATTTACTTATCAATTTACAATAAATGTAAACAATAGCGATAGCTGTATACAATGCAAAAGCAAAAATTTGGATCGTACTAATGTACTCTGGTTAATAAGCTGCAGTGTCCTCGGGTTGACATCCGAACACACTCCAGGCTGGGTCAACAAAGATCCTGCAGTGGTTTTTGCATTGAATTCTAAAATTTTATATTTTTGAAAAACGCCCATTTTGGAATGGTGGCCGTCTCGGAAGGGTTACCAACTTGTAACTGATTTTGATTAAGTTAACCACGGCCTTGCTTCAGTCGGAGTTTCGTAATATTTGGCATTATGTTATTTATCAAAAATCCGGAATTGAGGTGAAAATTTGCTCGCCCTTATATGCCGCTGGCGGTGTCCAAGCGATCGGTACCGTGCTCAGTTAGCAGACATCGTCTACTACGGCTATGGGTTTTTTATTTTTTATTTGATGAGACACATTATCTGAAATAGTTTATGTTGTGTACCACTTTCGATCTAGAGTTTTTTCCATAGATAATGTCTTTGTGTTCATCTATGGGTTTTTCTGTAACTCCTACAATAAATTGTAGGTAACAGAATGAACCTACCAAGAAATCGAAACTGCATTTAGAAGGTTGCCGCAAATTCATAGGCAAACTAGAATGTCCAAAACCTTTGTAGCTCGCTTATTTCTACTACAAAATAATATCGATTTTGAAAAACTGAGAATATTTCAGAGAATATAATACAGGACGAAGATATTATTCAGTGTGCACCGAGTGCAAATATGTCGAGAACGAGAATACCATAATCATTAAATGTCTGTTAGTACATTGGTAAGATGGCATAACTGTTAACGATTTCTCACGAATTTTTAAGGTAGTATTCTATAAATCCAATGATTTCACGTCTTCCGCTAGAGGTCGCAACAATATCTTTGATATTGAAGAAAATACAATAATAAAACCAGAATTACCAGAAAATTCCTGCCCGTAATAATAGCAAACTTAATTCAAATTTTATGATTCTAACGATAAAAAAATTACTTTTTTAATTTATAAATCAGTAATTACTCATACCTGGTTTCTAATCATAATTTTATGCATTGTTTTTAATTTACAACTAGATATTTTATTATACTTAATAGATTCTAGTTATCAGCCTCGTTTATCATTATATTATAATTACACTTACCGCTGGATTTGAAATTTTTACTTTATAACTTTACCACAATGCATATTTTAATTTTTTTTTAAACTTAAATGAAGGCAAAACCAAACAGATAACAGGTCCTACATTTTTTAACCTATTTTTAAATTGAGATGTAGTTGACATGATATGCACATTTATTTTTATCTATGATGGTGTCTCATTTGCATACAGGGTGGCCCAATTAAAACAGTCTACCAGAGATATTTTCAATGCAACAGGTTTTTCCGGAAAACTCCTTTTGCAAAAATACATTCTCTGGAATCTGATTGTCGTTTTCAAGAATCTCCACAAATTCTTGCAGTTACCCGGTCATTTCATTATTTCGAAAATAGAGTCACAATTCCAATTTTCTCTGCAGTTGTGTAAGCCATGATAATAAACTACATGTAAAATTGTAATAAAACCCATGACCTTATCAAGACTTCGATGATAAACCTTATTTTTCAGTTTCATTATCCGGTGAGTTTTTTATTACTATTTCAAGTCTTTTTTCGATTTATTTCACCGACACTTCCAACAGTTTTTTTACATTAATTCTCAGCCAGAACAAAAAAAATTCAGCATGTTTGCAAAGATAATTGAAATACCTTTAAAATGATATGCCACTTAACCCCCCCGTACCATTTAAGATTTTTGAAGGGGTTGCCACCCCATTTAGGGGGATGACCCTACATCTATGAATTTATGGTCAAAAGATGTGCCCCTTGAAAACAAAACTGACCTGTTTCAGGGTTTTCCGGAAAAACCTGTTACAATGAAAATATTTCAGGTGGACTGTTTTAATTGGGCCACCCTGTATACTAAATACTGTTAATTTGGGAGAAATTTTAAACTCGTGAAAATGTGAATTCTTACCAACAATACAACAGTAACAGACGACTGTAAAAAGTGTAATGTGGAAAGTAAAATATACAGCATGTATAAACTCGAGATTTAATTATAAAAATATTAAAATTCTCTGTACTAAATGGTAGCTAGTGAAAATTAAAGTGGTAATTTTTTGATACCAAACCATAAGATCCACATCATATTTTAAGAAATGATTTCTATGTTCACACAGAGAACTTTCTGACAAAAAAAATGCAAACATCGGTATATGTTGGCAACCTCCAACTTGAATTTTTATATTGCACATTTTGTGAATTTTTTTCATGAAAGTTCTCTACGAGGGCATAAAAATCGTCCTCCTAAAAATGATGTGGGTCCCATCCTTTATTATTAAAACAATTCACTTTATTTAGGTAAATACTGTTTTACAAATTAAACATCAGTTGAGGCGGAACCACGGAATACACAAACAAAATCCGATATAATAAAGAGAAATTTATTTAAATTCTATTAGTATGATATATAAACATGACTTAAAATTACATACAATCACATCATTGCTAGACTTAAACATCTGTTGAACTTAGCAGTTATGTTCTTGCAAATCGTCAAAATAAGATTAAAACTAACAATAAAAGTCTCAATTTGATCATGAAAATTAAACTAACATAATAGTTTGAAGTGTAAAAATAAGTAACATTAAAAGAGATCAAGCCCTTTATGCAGCAGTCGGCAGTTGAGGCCATATATCAATATGTACAAAAAAAAATATGAGCACAACAGGCCCCACAATTACTTATCACTATTATCTACAGCCTACTTAAATAAATGAATTTAGTTTTAAGTCATTTACTGGCAGCTTCCGATATAAAAAATTATATACAATATATCGACGATTTTTTAATACAGATCTTCAAAATAATAGTAACAACATAATCTAATAAAGGCATGTAATTTCATTGCTATATCTTATACATTATTTTGAAAATCCATTCTTTAATAATTTTTAAGAATTTATGGGATAATTGCAGAAATACAGATCATTTTATGCAATTTATTATATCCGCTGCTAGTACATTCCAAAATATTTTGTTTCTCATAATTTAAAGAAATATTGCAAAAATATTATACTGGTATAACAGCAAATGGTTTATGAAATTTTCAAATAAATCTAAGTAGTTTCCTAGTATTGGTCAGGCAATAACAGTCAACATTTTTCACTACAACACACATTTATACATATTTTGCGAGAAAACTAATAGGATCATAACCAGCCAAGCGGTGACAGAATAGCAAAATTGACAGTCATACCAATAAGGTCAAGTATATTATTTATATGATACGTTTGTGTCACATCTCCTCAACGTCACGTGAATTGTAACATGATAGTAATGTATACTAATAAATACAAAATGTTTATTTTATGTATCACATTCGTTACAATAATTGAAAATAGTTAAAACCCATTTATTTGCGTAATTTGGACTGTGAACATCCTGAATAATAATTTCATGGGGTCCTGCCCAAAATATTAATCATTCGTCAATGCTTAGGCCTATTTCAGATAGTTCATAGCGTACTTGATTACCATAACCTGCTGATATGGGATGAAAGCTTTTAGCAAGAAATGCGTTAAAGTAACACAAAAATATAAAAATCGTCTTCTACAATTTGGCAAATATCCTGCAAAGCGTTGCCATCGCCTAAAAATTTATCGTGTACATTAATTTAACAGTATTTAAAATTTTAGTTAATTTAATTGCTAAATTATTTTCAATACGATTCACTCAAGTTTTGCAATGTTTTGGTTGACTCTGCACTAAATTAGAATTAAATAAATAATATAAACCATCATAAAAATGGTACGAATATGTATAACAGTATACATTCAAATATAAAAGTGTTTCTAACATAGAAAAAACTGATCCACCTGCACGGTAAAATTGATATGAATGCTGATATTAGTGCTTATACTAGTTACTCAAGTAGTGGCTATAATTTTATAATTGGCTGTCAAACTGATCTCTATTCTCTTCAGAAATTAACACTTTTTGATGAACATTCAATTCCAAAAAAAACTTGACGCCTTGACAAACTAGTATAACTGCAGAAAATTATATGATTACAAAATGAAAGAAATATGACATAAATAATAAAAGCAAATAAATAATAATATATAAAAAATACTGACTAAGTATATAATAATTAAAAATGTATATAAGTTTACAGGTCTACACTATATAATGTTTATCACATACTTTATGACTGAAATGAATATATATATACGAGAAACTATAAGAGATGTCACAGAAACGTATATAAAATGACGGCGAAAGGAAGTAAATCTGTGCGTTAAATTTACCTTATAATTCTCAGTCAAAACCTACTTAACATAAACAATACGCGAACACATAGAAAAGTGTCATACTAAATCAAAAGACAAACTGACCTAACACATTCCAATAAACAATTTGTCGAATAAAACATTATTGGAAATATTTCGGAGAATGAGAATCGTTAGGATTAGTTTCTAAGATTTTAAAATATAGTAACACGAAGGGTTGTGTTTTGTCAAAAATGACAACACACGCAGTGTCAGTCAAATAACCGAACTGAGACGAGGGTTCGGCAAGTTATCCTTAAAATTATATTTACAGATTAAGACTACTTACAAACAAGTGCAACGTAGATATACTACTTTGATTTCTAGAGGCACTAATATGTACACAGCCAGAAGAGAAAGTACAAACTAAAAACACTGACAATTTATCCACCAATGACACTACTATTACTTTGAATTTATTTCACGATTCGCTATGAAAAAACCAATGTGATGAGGTTAGGACTTTGGTAAATATAATGAACCACTCCTATCAGACATAAGATTTCATGATACTATATTAAAATTATCACAAATCAAATATACTGTCTTAAAAAATAAAAATCTGTGTGGCTTGTGTAAAAAAAAAATGGAATTGTGAGTTCTGCCTTATTTTTAGTGCACATGGTTTGCAACAAAAAATATGTAGGAGGCACAAAAACAAATGTTTAAAATTTGTAACAGTCTCTACCAACCTAGTTTGTCACTATTCTACAACTCCTCGGGCACAACTGCAAATTCCGAGGATTTGTAACAGTAAATAGGCAAGCATACTACATTAACAGTAGAAAAAATGTATGTATTTCATACAATCTATGTATCACTTTGACAGTAACTGTCAAAAAAAAAGAATCAAAAAGATTAAAGCTCTTACACCTCATCCACACAAAAGTAAAAAGGCTAGTTTTACAGGAAAAAAAAAACAGTCGTTGTGCTCAAACCAAACTGTGTCATTTAAATTCCCTGAAGTTTAATCCTAAATTGATATTAAAATAATTGGTAAATAATTACTGTCTAATAAAATATGATTCAATCTGCTTGATATATACATCCCAGGAAATAAGAAATATTACTTGAGCAACTCATAACAATATAAAAACTATACTTAAAGGTAGATATTAGTGATTTGATTGGTACATAATGGCAGTAATTTCAATACGTGTTTCCTTCTCAAAAAAGTTAACTGCAATTACAGCAGTTCCCAAAACAGATTTTTAAAACTAAGAGAAAAAACATACCATCCTGACACAGTTTTAAGACACTCCACACAAAATCGTTATAAAAAATGCATAATCTTAAGTAAGTCAAAGAAATGTATGAATACCTTTATTATTGCACATCTATACCTTCGAGTGCGTTTTTATGAGACATGATCAATAAATACCATGATAATGGAATACGAGATAGCCATACAAGAACAACACGATAATGGGGGACAGAAAAAAACAAAAAATGTTCTTCAGAACACCCCTAAATTCTTTGCAGCACACTAATGTAAATATTCCCACACGTACGTACATTCATACATGCATACGTATGTATGTATATACACATACATACACCAAAACGAGTAGGCTAATGCTTCAAGAGTAGAGGTATTATTCTTTGGATAAAAATAGACTAAAATCAGTTTATTTTCACTCAAGTTGCATCCTTTTATTTTTATCCAAGGCAGCTATCCTTAAAGTATAGAGACTATTCGCTTCAGAGATACAGAGTGTTTTAAAATATGGTGCCAAATTGAAACAGGACAAAAAATGAAATTTCAAGCACTAATATTACTGCAAACATGGGTTCGAAATTGCTGATGATAAAGGTGCATTGTCAAAAATACATTTTTTAACTCCAAAATCAAATGCAATGGTCCTTAGATTATCGATAGCAATAATGTCACCGGGGTTTGTTCCCCACCAATAATGGTCGAGTGGCACAAGGTAACTAAGAATTTTTTAATATTAAAAAAATTGTTTTTTTCGGTTGTCATTTCAATTCCTGAAAAAGCATCTTTAAAATCACAATGTACCCTTCTTGTATTCGGATAATCTGCAATATTTTCAAGAAAATTACCAATAAATTTTTATGCACTTTGGTCATACATCTTTTGAAAATCAAAAATGCCATGCGAAAAGAGAGTAATTAATGCCAGGATTAAGGCCTGCTAATGAAAAAAATGCCTATCCTACATGGGAAATTAATAAATATTATTAAATGTGTCGCTAAAGTGCATAAAAATATTTACTGCTAATTTTCTCGAAAATGGCAAAAACTATTATAGCATGAAATTATCGCAATCGATTCAGTTGGATCTAAGCAGCCATTTTTATTTAAAATAATACGTCTTTGGCAGTGCACTTTTATCACCCTGTAACTTTTTTGCTAAGAGTTTTTGGACCCACGTTCATCGTTAAAAATCACATGTTTTACTTCCCGTTTCAGTTCAGTATCATTTTAGAAACAACTTCATATACGCGTGTGTATATAAATATATATTCGGATGCATACATTCCTCATACATCGATATGATTTGCTAATTAATTACTTAATAGGAGCACTAAGGAAGCTTAAGGTTTGGCTACGTGACAGGTGGTAATTTACCAGTATGAAGGATACTCGATCTATCATCAGAAAGTTGAACACGATTATTAGAAAACAGCGTATTAGCTGTAGAACCCCCTCCAGATTTGGGAGTTCGAGGCCCTGTTGGAGTTGTACGTGCGACACTAGCACTATTCTGTTCTTTCTCGTTCGGCGGCCGTGGTAGTCTTCTGCGAAGCCAAGCGTGCCGCAACGCGGCACTAGGAGTCATCCGAGCATCTGGATCCCATTCCAGGCACCGTTGTATGAAATCGAGAAACAATGGATCGTCACAACCTTTAAGAGCCCTTTTCAAATCCTTCGATCCAGGGGGGCCTCGTGGCTTACCTCTTCTACTTAAGCCTCCGCTGAGGACTACCGTTCCATCGGACAGAGTTGAGCAACTACAATAACGAGGAATACCTTTAGAACTTATAAAGTTTTTGGCTCGTTTGGACTGGTCGAGCAATCTTTGAGGAGGTAATCCTAACAATTCCATAATACAAGCTAACTGATCAGCTTCGTCTTCACCCGGTAATAAAGGGAAACCCGTCAATAATTCAGCTAAAATACAACCTAATGACCACATATCTATCGGCATTCCATAACGAGCTCCCAATATTACTTCCGGGGCTCTGTAGAATCGGGACTGGATATATGTGTACACGCGGTTTTGCTCGTAACAAGAAGACCCAAAGTCGATAACCTGAAACAAAATTCATACATTATAAAAGATGTATATTTAAAAAAAAGTATGACAACATGAATACACCATTAAAACTACGAGACACGAAATTAATACAAAATATATGGAAATTCTGAATTTAAATTAGAAATTTCATGTTTTAAACTCAAAATATCAAGTGTAACGACAAAAAAGAGTTGGTTTGGGTTCCGAGCCACATGGGTAGACCAACTGACTGTTCTTATCTAATGGGGCTCTTAATAAATGAGCCTATCAAACATTAGATCAAAACTGGCGGATGTACACACACCCATAGCTTTACATATATGTGGGCCTAACAAACCTAAGACGAGTTGACTGCTGACTCAAAGAGCCCTAAATTAAATGGTGGGGGTCCTGACAGGACATTGCAGACTTAGGAGGCGTTTAAGCTTAATAGGAATTGAAGGGAGGATACCCCTATTCATCATCTGCGTAACCTTTGGAAGGTTAAGGCATAAAGCCTTTGGTACCAAAGAGCTGCAAGGGGATGAGGTGAGGAACCTCCCATAGATCAATAGAGGGTCAGAGGCAGACAGTGGATAGGCGATGGGACTGCAGGGTAGGCAAAAAGGGTCCATTTGTGGCATAATTGCCAGGCTGAGGCCTCAATTCACTGCTACTACTACTACTTGATGCAAAGGGTTATTTATTTCAAATTTAAATATTTTAAATACTTTTTTGTTTCAGTGTACCTGTTTGTTTTAATATTTGTATTAATATTAATGTCATTTATTTCCAACAGGTAAACCCAATTACAGGAAATACATAGCAAGTGAAAAATATTATTATTATGTATCAAAATTCTTATTAATATGTTTTAATATTGCTAAGATAAGTCACACAAGCTATTTTTATATTTTTTTGCAGGACCTGATGTAGAAAAGATACATTTAATATATAATAATCTCCTGCATGCATATAATACGTTAATATTCACTTTTTGCTGGATAACTGCGATATAGACATCTGTTGTGAACATGCGACCAATAAGTTTTGTGTTTTAGTCTCTGCCTAAATTTATTCATGTTTTATACTGCAGTCCTATAGTTTTTTAGATGGCAATCATTTAAAATATTAAATAATAAAGACCTACTAAGCGATAAGTACACGTGAAGTGTATTTTCTGAGATACCAACAAATATTTTTCTCGTGTGCTACTCTTTTTCACGTTCTGGATGACATTTCAAATAAATCATTTATACTACATAAGCTACATCACTTAGAAATTAATCTACCAATATGTTAGCATAGCATATATTTTCTGAGATATCAGGAATCAACATCTTTCTCTTTTAAGATTTGAGGTTCTGTAAATAAGGCATTTACAAATAAAGATATTATTAGCATTTTTTAGTAAAAATACAATGGTAAAACTAATTATTAGCAAAACAATTGCAATGAAAAATATCAACTACATTTTGTACAGTTTCGACATTTAATTGAATACACACATCACTATATTACTTCAGTTAATTAAAAAAATTAATCTGTGTTTGTTTTCTTAACTAGGAATAATGTTTTTTTTAATATTGCAAGTAAGTAATAGAATAAATATTATATGATACCTGTAGTAGCGATATCAAACAAAAACTGTCAAGCCCAATTGAGAAATAAACATTTGTAGTTTAGACAATTCCTATACAATGTCTGTCTTCAAGGAAAATAAAGTTTATTATTATTATTAATATAAGTCAAATTCAAGTCATTCCATTTAAAAATAAAAGAACATGCTAAAGTAATTAAAAAAAATTGTTGAGGCAAAATATGTTAAGGATTGAAAAAGAAATATAAGTATATTTTCGGCATAAATATATTTGGAAATATTGATGAATTTTTGTAATACCACAGCAAATGCTCCAGCTAGTGGTAAAATTGGAAAATTGAGAACATTTAAATCCTTGTGATGCAAGGGTCCATTAAACATATTTTATTTTTTTAATTTTTATTTTTGTGATTGCACAGGTCAGGAGTAAAAGTCCAAAAACTGTGTCAATGTTAGAAGCTCGTCAGCAGTGGACCATAGATAAAAGCCAATTATTTTGCTCTAATTTCTCAACAATTAGTGGTAAGCGATGATGGAAAGATTATATCTACCAGTGTGGTATCTTACATTCAAATATTACAAGTGAATTAAACACGAAAAACCCTCCCTCTATAAATTAGGTAAATGTGATATTGATTATTTTAAATTAATATATGATAATTACAGTCCCACTATTCTAAATGCCTAATCCTGGAAAAATAGGGATAGTTATATATATATATGAAAAAACTTGTTTAACACCTGGTATCCAGGAATACATTTTATTTGAACTACCCCTTTTGATTTTGATGGTATCTATTGGGTCATAAGTATCTGAACATCTATATAAAAAGATAAATAATAAAAGATTGATGTTACACTTTGGTTACAAAATTGTTCTTTTTTTTTAATGGTACAGCCTGTATATTCGTCATTTTTCTGGAATCCTCTTTTCTTTCCCGATTAGGGCAATATATACATTTTATTTATTTGCTTTAAGCTTACAGTTTGTACCATATTTTGGTTTATTTACTGAATCACCGCAATAAATAAAATCAAGATTGTCATCATAGAACAAGTATATATTTACGTTTTTTCACTATAAAATATACTAAATGCTCTTTAACTTTTTGTTTAAAAATACTATATTATAAAAGTTGCTTCATAATAATCCCATCCAATTGTAAACAAAGGATTTGCCCACAAGAAGCCCAGACTATAATGATGTTTATGTCACCACATTTAGAAGACAATGAGGGCATAAATTTATTTAAATCTAGATGACCAATGGTAGACACTTTTGATATTGTTTCAAAATTTCGTTTTCTCTACCAGTTTGTATTTCATGTTATTACCTATTAATATTTATTAATGCCATTTTTTAAAAAACAATCCTTAAAATGCAAAAATTAACATATTGTGGCTGAATTTAATGTTGATCTCTGTTCAAAATGATTAGTCGTAGGAACAGGATAAAGAAATAATTTCTTTGAAACGAAAGGGAAATTTCCCATACCACAATGCAATATTACATCCAAAACTAGGCTTGTATTACATCGTATTCCGATAACTGTCAAGCAATAATGGATTTTTTAATAGTCGGTAATCAAATAATAATTTCACTCCGGTAAATGTCAACATTATAAATTGTTTCAAGAATAAATCGAAAATTTAAATTGATATCAGCTGTTGATGTTCATTCCATATTTTGATTTAAGTACCGGAACTAATACAAAATTTAGCTACTATTGAATATGACGCCGAACTAGTGCTTTTATCAATATTAAGTTATTCTGGGAAATAAGCAATAAAAAAGTTTCCAATAAAGTAACCATGAATACAAAAATGAATGGTGCTTCAGAAATTCATGGCCAATTTATGTAGAATTAAAATATAACATAGCCATTTTCAAGTGGACTTTTTTATTCAGACAATTATTTTCAAACTTCACATATTACAGGAACTTATTTGAAAAATTCCACTTTTAAGTTTATATTTTTCAAATTTTATAATTTCAATTAGCAGAAGTTCGCAGTAGTGATTGTAATTAGAAAACTGATAAAAATACTTTAAAATTACTATTAAAACTTTTCAAAATATTATTTGTATATTCTAAATATTTTTTTATTTAGGTAATTGGATTAAACTAAAAGATTTTTGTAGCAAAGTAGGCTTTGATACATTTTTAAACTACACATTACTAAACTATCATTTTCAAATATTTATTTTCTTTATCTTTTCCCAAAAATAGTATGGGAAATAACCAATAAATCATATCTGATTACATAGCTGTACTCTGATAACTGATTTATAAAAATTTTCAATATCAAAATTACCAAATCCCTAATCGTAAAAAATTATCTTGAAAGTAGCAAAGATTGTTAAGATATGTGATTGTACCTACATTATGTTGAAATGGTCAATATAATTTTTTTTCTTAACCTTCATTTTCAAATATCCAAGTAGCATTAAAAAAAGGCGGAAACAACGAAATTACCATCAAAAACACACTTCCTTTTTGGTTATTTTACATATTTCTGTACAGATTTCTGTATTTGGTTATTTTACATATTTCTGTAGAGCTAAATACCAACACCAAGAAACAAGTAGCCCCTAACATGGACATTTTTCTAGACCCCCTCTTTTTCATACATTTCGTTACCGGAATTCATAACGTAAATATTGTATATTCTCGCAAATAGTAAAAGAGTCCATATCAAAGCTTTCAAAGAAAATTTTAAATACGCAAAACAGAGACGTAATAAATAAGACCAAGATAATGAATAAATGAATATATATTTGATTATATGAATAAAGTTCCAACGTATCTATAGCAAATGTATCTTTCAACATTTTCAATATAACTAATGAGAGATAGAGGACACTGTATATGTATAACTTCATTTAAATACATTTTCTGAATTAATTTGGATTAGTAACGTGAAAATACACTATTATTTTTCCACATTAAAAAAAATAAAAATTGTTCAGCTTGTTTTTTTATATAAACATACCTTCTACGTTTTCCTTATTTTTGAGTTTAGGTATTTAAAAAATATATTTGGAGAATTTATTTATTTTCATAATTTACCGAATTCAAGTTAAAAAATATCAACTTAGTAATCATCCCCTACAGGGTGGGACAAATTTGACACAAAAGTTAAATTCATTTAAGAGACACAGGGCGTTTTTCATTTTTATGTAATACTGAATAATTTTTTTAGTTAGACTGAAACTCAGAATTATTCGGCCATCTAAGTTATTGCTGTACTTTCACTGAATATAAATGGAAGACCCAACAAAATGTTTGATAGTTTCAAGTTAGCCCTTGATTATTGTTAAAACGAATTTACTTATTTTAGACAGTAATATAACATAATACTTTTCTGAAGAAGAAAAAGAAGATAATCCATTGTAATTCTGAACATTCAACACTTTTGAGGACCAATAGAATGCACCATGTACTATTCAAAATAATCTATAGGGTGATACTATTTTTTTGAAATCACGACCCCCTAACCACTACCAATTTTTTTATTGCAAGGAGACTGGACCTTGAACTTGAAATAGAAATATTTATTGTTGATTATTGACTACTAATGTTCTTTAATTGAAACCCGAGTTGAAACCTGAAACTTTATTATTATGAAAACGATATATTCGTATACAAGGCGTTCAACTTAAAATAATTCAATCCCCAGCAGAACTAGATATGCATTTGGACTGATAATAATTCTAGTGATTTAAAATTCCTCTCGGAATTCCAAAAAGAAACTGATGAGTATAAATGATGATCTAAATATATTTTTTATGAATACCTATACACCCCAGCCCGATATTTCTAAAAAAAAAAGGATTTCTAGGTTCCATAAAAAGTATTGCGACATTAGTCCTCAAAGCTCTTTGGAAAGTGGTCAACATAAAAAAACATTAAATTAAATTCTGAACAACCTTTGTAATACCTATAAACAATTTTCGAAGAATCAGTTATATATAATAAAATATTTTAACTTGATAATTGTTACAACTATTTTCAAAATTAGTTTTAGAACTTTTTCACATCAAGTTGGACGAAAAAAATAATGACTTTAACTCTAAAATAAAACTTCTTTTATATTCAATGAAATGAAAAAGAAACAAATTTATTAAAAATTAAGTCACAGCTTAATATAAAAACATAACTTAGACCTAATTTTGAAAATGTAGCAATTTTTACTCATCAAATACTTTCAGATTCAAATCTCCTGGAAATCAGTGATTTTTCAAAAACTGTTTAAATTGTAAAATTGCTCAAAATTTAATTAAGCATTTTTTATGACAGCCACCTTCTAAAGTTTCTGTCATTGATAATTAATTTGGTTTGGTACTGCATCCCACTACAAAGAACTTTTATTTGCACAACTGAATTATAGTAATTTATATGAACTACAAAATCCTAGATATTTCTTTTAATTTTCGAGACATCAACCTGGACACTTTCAAAGAGAATTTCCTGTATACTGAACTAGTAACACCAAATATGTATTAGTGGGGGTGGTGAAAATTAAATAATTATACTTTAACCATGGATCAACTTCAAAAAATTGCACAACAAAATTTTGTGGTGCACGTCTATTATGCCATGAAATCAGAAACAGTATACTAGACTCTAGTGACTAGAGTAACAAGAAAAAGTATTTAGTTCAATGGGTGACATAGAGAGACAGTAAAAAAAGTTAAATAGAACTAAAAAAAAATATTAATAACAGTAACAATATACTTAAATCTTCTATATGACATAACTATTTCTATTTTAATTTTTGGAGGACGTAGAATAGTCGTACGATATTCTGTTTTTCATTTCATAGCATTCTATATGCGCATCACAAAGTTCTATTTTGTATTTTTTTAAAGTTGGTGCTAGAGGAAATAATCAATATAGGTATATTTTTTCTTCAAAGTGAGACAACTATTTTAAGGGAGGTAGAATAATCTTACACTGTTATTTTTTTAATGAAAAAAAATCCCCCACATTTCTCTGCAAGATGCACCCACTAAAAAATCATAGTAAGCCAACTGTTCATGGCAATGGAAAACCAATAGCTATTAAATAATGATCTTTATACAAGCTGTTACAAATTCGCTTCTCACTACAGGGATCTTGGAAACGGTAAGAGATACAAGGTGGCTTAAATGGGGGTAAAGTTCCATAATCAGGGAATCAACATTATGCCTCTAAAAAATCAAGGCTAACATGATTAGTTTTTGAAATATTTGAAAAAACCGAAATTTTGGAAATTCTTTTTTGTTTCACTTCAGCCTCGTTTGAGGTGTCACAGAAAAAAGAAAAACACTTTCTCATGGCAACTTTTTGCCCTCTATTGAATGGCATAATCAATTTTTATATGTAACATTTCGTGTCTTCAGGACCATCACCAAATCCATTTTTTTAAATACAACCTTAGAAATTTTATTACATTTTTTGCAAACCTCCATAACCCCCAATACTATACTGCCTCAGCCAGAACCAGATTCGGACGTTTTGTTTCGAAAAACTCATCTTCAATGTATTCGGTCCAAATTTATCAATTTTTTTAGATTTCTATGTTTCTTAAATTATCGTACACTCTAAGCATCATTAGACCCTGTGAAATCCACCTAGTTATTTAAAATATTGCACTCACCCGTTACAATAAAACATTATTAGAGTTTTATTAAACCTGTGTTCATAGTTATATCTAGGTTTCTCGTGTGCTGAAAATTCAAACAAATTTCGATCTAATTTTTTTTAGGATATTCATACAAATACATCTGACATGCTTTTTCACAGTTGCCGTTACAGGTATAATAAATTCCGATCATATTATGCTTATCTTCATTTTCAATATTTGCCAAAACAGAAACATTTTTTGAACATTTACTGTAATTTTTTAAAGTATAATATTTATTTGTCATAACGAAATTAAAATTGTAATGTTTTAATGTTGACTCAACAACTTATCGAATTATGTCTGAGCAGGTGATAGAGTTTAAAACTATAATGTTTTATTTTAACGTGTGATGGTAATATGTAGTTTAAATAACTAGGTGGATTTCGCAGGGTCTAACGACACTTAGAGTGTAGGATAATTCAATAAATCTAGAAATCTAAATGAAAAATTTAGATAAATTTGGAACGAATATATTGAAGATTAATTTTTCGAGACAAAACGTCTGAATCTGATTCGGGCTGAGGCAGCACAATATTGGGGGTCATGAAGTCTTGCAAAAAATTTGCCATATAACATTTCCAGGGTCGTATTTAAAAAAATTAAGTTGATGATGGTTCTGCACAGACGAAACTTTACTTATAAAAGTTGATTATGACATTCGATAGAGAGCAAAAAGTTGCCATGAGAATGTGTTTTTCTTTTTTCAATATCACCTCAAACAAGGTTGAAATGAAACAAAAACGGATTTCCAAAGTTTTGTTTTTTTTTCAAATGTATCGAAAACTAATCTTATTAGCCTTGATTTTTATGCAACTTTGCCCCCTTTTAAGCTACTCCGTATCTCATACCGTTTCTGAGATCCCTGTAGTGAGAAGTGAATTTGTAACAGCCTGTATGTTAAATAATCATAGTCTCACTTGACACTGTGTAGGTATATTAACAAAATATTTTTTTCATAATCAACTGTTCAATATTCATTTTTCTAAAAGTTCATCTTGAAGTTTGAAAACTGGAATATTAGTATCAAATTAAAATTTAATACTAAGTTATGATGAAGGAAATTTAATTTTGTGGAAAAAAAAAACATGATTGTATCCATCAGTTAATAATAACAAAACAAAAATTATACACATTATACAACAATGCTTTGTTGTAACTCTTTTTGAGGACTCAGGGTTCAATTTTTTTATTTCATTTGAACTCTTTTCTTCATGAAAGTCCTTAATGTGAGTCTAAAAATTATCCCTTAAAAAGAACGGTATCAATACCAGGCTTCGTTATCAAAACGTGACCATTTTAATTTTTACCAACTACCAATGACGTATGTGTGTATAAATCTACAGAGCATAAAAAATACATTTGTTATTTTCTCTAAGATAAGATAGGTATGTGTCAAGAAAGTAATACAATATTTTAACATAGATTAAAATTAATACATAATAAAACTGTATATACCTGGAAGAAATAATTAAACTCAACTAATTAAATACCATACTTAAATAAATTCAATTTGTCAAAATAAGATTAATTTCTTAGATTCTTAATCAGAAAGAGTTTTTTTATTTACCTTTTAACAAAAATTTGCCCTTGATTTATTAGCAATAGAAATGTCATTTCGCATTATTTCAAATGTTGCATTAAAACACATATCATATTATTTTAACGTGTATATGATTTCTATCATTCGTTATTTTTAGACATATAGGTAAAGTAATTTATATTAACAAAGATACAGGTAGCAATTTTTTTCTTGGTTAATATGGGCTAAATGAACAAACAATTGGGTGTTATAAAAAGCACAGTTTTTTAAATAGAGCACCTTGTATATCACATATGGATAAATGCATTTTAAGGATTATGATGATATGATTGATGGGCCTACTTCTAACGATAAGCAAGATATGGCTATTAGCACATTATTAAAAAAAAATTAATTTTTAAAATTATCTTGTAAATATAATTTTCAATTGTTGCTTCATTTAGCCTTTGTGCCTTTTTATTTTGAAACACCTCAAGTTAAAAGTCACCTCGTCACCTCTACTTAATAATTTAGTTTTAATAGGAGACAACTACAGTGATTTTGTGCACAGGAAGTTAACCAAACCACTATCTTACCTTAACTAAAAAGCATCTTATATATTTTTATATAACCTAACATACTAAAAAAAATAAATATAAGTAAAAAAACAGCTAATATATATTATGTGTATATGATAATATTGATAATTGTTAGTATATAAAATTGTGTAAAATCTTTATACCTACTAGAAAATTAGATATAAAATAGAAATAGTCACTAATAGAAACATTCCATATACAAAAAAGAAATAAAATGTGTCCTTTACTCACCTTAAGACCACTTCTTCCTTGCTGCTTCAGTAGCACATTTTCAGGTTTCATATCGCAGTGAATAATCTTATTTCTGTTGAGGGCATCTAAACATTGTAGTAACGAATGACTAAATTTACGAACAAGCTGCAAACTGAAGCCTTGAAATTTGTTCTTTTTAATAAGTTCATAAAGGTTAATAGAAAGCAATTCAAATGTAATGCACATGTGATTTCTAAAGGTAAATGAGTCTAACATATGAATAATGTTCATAGTATTGTCTTTATCTTGTTTCCTCAAATGCTCGAGTATACGGACTTCTTCCTGAGCTTGTCGATGAAATCTCTTCTCATTCCGTACCATTTTAAGTGCAACGTGCATATGATTTTTATGATCATAAGCTTTAACTACCTGCCCAAAAGATCCCTTGCCGATTACTTTTAGAACTTCGTAACGATAAGCAACGTGATCATGTGGAATGTGAATGTACGAACCCTGATCATTATCATAATCACAGTTATTCGGGTTACCAATAATTCCAGGTCTCTTTTTCGCATTGGCACCGATAAAATAAATCTGAGGATAGTTGAATATCTCGTGATGTTCATACGGGGTAAGTTTGTTCATATATAGTTTCATAACCTGTTCAGGGCTTGCTACCATTGTTTTGGGTTTACATTCAGATCCGGATACTGTTGTTTTAACTTGTGTGAGTGTTGCACCCCTAGTAATGTGTGGTTGCATACATTGCAATGCACAAGAGCCCCCAACTGTTAATTCGGGCAGGCCCGCCGAGTTCGCTGATGAGGCCGTCGAGGCAGCAGGAGGACTCTGTTCTTTCAGTGAGCCCTTATTGAGAGGCGGTAAATTGCCGCCGCCACCTTCTTGGATGTATGAATGAGAAGATACAGGAAATAACTGCGTTCTAGACATCGGCATTTTCACGGAATTAACTACTGCAGCACTAGACATCTCTAGGGCATTGCTAATTCTCCAAGAGGTTGACGGCCAACCATTAGAGCGAGCCCGACCACCCGTATCTGTGAATGCACCGTGGTCGAGCGCACATTCACAGGCCACTGCAATTGAAATCGCCACCTCGATATACCACTAATTTTTTCCACTCACGTTTTACCCTCGGCTTTTCATACAATTTCCACCCTGTGATTCGTATAATCCGTTGCTTTCGTGCGAATCATTAGCCAAAACCTTTAACAACATTCACTCGCGCACATCATCTATAACCTTGATTTGTACTAAAGGCTACCCTTTCAGCTGTGTTTGTACGGCTTTTCATTTCAAAACATTGCAATTCAAACAAAGAGAATCAGTTAGCTTACAGCCATATTTTCAACCACAATTGTCAACTTTTCTAAAGGCCAGAGAAGCGGAGGGGGCGCCCATAACGCATTCTTTCGATCGACACTTTCGATCAACATCGTTCAGTTTCGCTTGTTCTTGGAAATTGCGACCATTTTATTGGTCGCACGCTCACATACGCAAACGTCATTGTCAGCGCGGGTAATACGAAGCAGATTCTTGTATATTAACTACTAAAATTGTCTGGGCTAAAAATTCATAGGTCATTGACCTTGAACAAACATATGTCACTAACTTAATAATATACAAGTATATCTATTATACATATATTGATTTACACTTGTTACTATTTTAGTTTCTTTAATTTTTGTAAAACCCCTCTCATTAGATCAATATCACCAAACAATTACAATTTAATTTAATATAAAAATCTATAAATATCAACATAAACCGCTTTTCTACTATTAAACGTTTTAGATATACCGAGTGTTCATTTTTCACTATATGGGGATTTCGGTTATCTTAAAAGATATAAGGTCGGCCAAATTAGGGTAAAGGTTAATATTTAATGACGATATGTCGAAGATAATTTTGACCTATCTCCTTTAGTTTTGAAGCATGGTATAGTTAAAAAAAGGGTGTTCGTTAGTCATACTTATCTCATAAAGTGAAAAAGTTAGGTATAGCCGTTTGTAAATTAAAAAAAAATGTAGTGGGCCATGAATAAAAACAATAATACTGAACAGGATGTGGCAACAATGTTGTAAATTTGGTCAAATTAGAGTATATTTGCTGAATATAATGATGAATAACGTGCCAAATTTGATATATCTCCTTTGTTTTGACATTATTGACTAAAAACTGAAAATTTTGAGTAAAAATTAGGTGTTTCGTCACAGACAATAGGTATTTTGTCTGTGGTTTTGTTTTCAAAGTGAATACATATTTCCCAAAAGCAAAATATATTATGTCAGAAAAATAGGCTGAATTAAAAAATGTGAAAATTCGATATGGCTTCAATTAGAACAATGAAAATTTGGACATCTATATATTTGAATTCTCTATGAAAAGTATTCTAATAATGTGCGAGTTTAAGGAGTTACCTTTTTCTGCTTTCGATTAGAAAAATTAAAAACAAAAATAAAAATTTTAGTTTTTAGTCAATAACATCAAAATGATAAGATAGGTCCAATTTATCTTTCGCAAATTATTCACCATCAAATTCTGTAACTTTGTCTTAATTTGACTGACATTGTAACTCAGGATAATCGAGATCCGGTAGAGATTGATAATCGGGCACACAGTATTGGCAACAGTTAATAAAAATTGAGATCAAGGAATTAAAAAATTTATTGATACTTTTAAACACATAAGTATATGTACATAAACAGAAACACCTATAATGTGAATATAGCGTTGGCCAGAACTAAAACTTCTACCTAAGGATGAAACTATTTTATATTTTCGAGTGATTATCATAATCAATATATTTGAGTAATTGGTCTATATCAGCTTGTCGTAGTTAAGATACAAGATATGTATATGATTTCAACAAAATATTCACACTATACACGCATTTCAGCTAAGTCTGATAGATATTTTAACACATACATAAATATATACAAATCAGAACATGACTAACAAAATTTTTATCGAAACATGTCACAATGAAAAAGTAAATTTATATATTTACTAATTTCAATAATAATAACTTTAAATACTAGATAATAAATAACCATTATTGCTCAATCACTGGCTTACCAACAAATTCCTATAATCAAAACATTACTGGGATCCAGAATAAAGTTTGTGAATATTTTTAGAAGTTTTTTTAATATCTCGACCATGTAGAAAATGTAGTTAATGCCACAGTTAATGTTTTATAAAAGTGAAAGATTTCATACGTATAGTTAAATATTACCTACTCCTATTTTAGAAATATTCTACAGCAATTTAAACAAGGTTCCGATCAATACTACTATTTATATATTGAGTTATTTGTGAAGTATTTTATAAAAGGAATCATAGGCATGACATAATTCCACATAATTTTTAAATTTCCAAGTTAACAGTTCATCTATGTAAGTTTATCATTATTACCTGAATTTAGTATATTTTTGTGACATGAATATTCTAATATAAAACTGTTAACTTTCCAGTTACTTTGGAATAAATAGAGCAGACACATTATGGTAAACTTTTCGTTTTTCTATATTTTATTAAAAAAATATATTTTTTTAATACAAAAAGTATTTGTACAAAAAATATATGAATATGGGAATCCTGTCATGTTACAGATTTCAAATAAAACAAACACATTTACTTTGTCAGGACGATCAGATCTTTAATTTAAAGAACAATAATGATTAATTTTCCAGAATTGGAAAAGTTACGTAGAACAAAAAATTTTGACTATCAAGTTCTAGTAACAATAGTACTATAAATTATACTAGATTATCATAACATAAATATGGGTATTTAGTTCTGAACTAATAAAAAATATAAAATAAGCAGATTTTAAGTGGTGATCATGATCCACTACCTACAGTAGAAAAATCCCAGTCTCATTCACAAGGCAGCATTCACAAACTAAGTCAAATTATTTAAAAACAAGTTTGTTTCAATTTAAAATCCTTGTGGAGGAAAGGATTCATACTTAAAAAGTAAATGAAGTTAGAATATTACAAGTAAAGCAGTACTCTGGGTTAAAGACTGGGTTGCTACATAACCGAATTTTAAGGTGTTTAAAACACCTGGAAGAGATTCACAGTATAAATGTGTACAGCTTAGAGCCAGATCAATATTAAATATGAACTCACAACTTTCAGCTTTAAATTACTACGAGTAGTTGCCCAAAGCTTCACATATGTAACGCTCTTCATCAAGAGTAAACATATGTTTTTTTTCTTTTTTGTAATGAAGGCACTCTAGAATGTTTCTAGTTACTGATTAATACAACGGTTATAAAACAACCCCGTCGTAAAAACCCTAAAAATGCTTTTGATTAATTGAAAAATAATCATGTAGGCATATATAAAAAACACAGCTTATCTTATTTATTTCCAGCCAGCTTGGAACACCGACAAGATCTCTAGTTTAGTGGACCTTAACCGAGGGTACGAAGAAACCGTGCTTACTAAGCCAAAGGCCAACGCCCGTGCCTAGCAGCAGAGATATTAAATTGGTTAAAAATAATGTGCACAACCCTTTACGAGAGAAAACGCTACTATTACCGACTCGGGCATATCGGATGCTCAAGAGATCTCTTTTTGGGGGACGGAAACTCCAATTTTTTGGTGGCAACTGATCGGGACGACTACTCCAATCGTTGAAAAAATCTGAATCCTAAAATCAAACAACAGTTAAATAGATAGCATTTTAAAAACTACACATATTACGTCTTTGGCTTCAGTGTTCATATAATATGATTGCCATTCCAGATTTAACGGTGTACCTTGTACAGGACTATTCGGAGGTGATTTTGGGCTGCTGCGTGGGGAATCTCGTCGAGACCCAGCTAATGAAACTCTAGCCGAGGACTGATTGGATTCTTGAGCTTCTTTTAGTAAACGTAAGTAATCTTCAACTGATAGCTGATGAGTTATAGATCCAGGAGTACCTCCACTTTGGGAGCCACACGTTGAGCTAGCACTTACATCTACCCACGATTCTATAAATAAAAAGCACATTCATTGAGTCTGTTCCAACAACAAATAAAGTTCATAAGAATCCACTTAAAATTATTTATGATAATTTGATCTGACGAAACTGCTACTCGAAAAACTACTTATTGAAAAAAACATATGTCCTTTAATTAGAGTTTCGAACAAAAATATTTAATACACAATAATTAAGAATTACTAGACAATTATTACTTATTATCAAGGTTTGAAAAAATTAAGATATATCTAGGCAAGTAGTTTCTAAGTACAAGGCAAGCAGTTCATTGATATTTATTTTTTTCTTACAAAGAAGACAACAATGAAAGTTAACCATAATAAGTAAACACAAATAATTTTGTAAACAAGAATGACATTTTCTTTGTAGTCGATTCATTTTCTGAACACATTCGTCACAAAAACAAATGGAATGAAATATGACGTATCATACCAGATGGATATAAACAAAACTTACCTCCAAGAAGATCATCTACGCTTGATTTTGATGATGACATTTTGTAGGGAGAATAATGCAATCGAGTGGAGTAATTTTTTATGCACGTAAAACAAAGATTTGATAGCTTTGAAACAATTTACGCGGAATTTTTAGATTATACGTACTTGCACAACGACCGACGACACATACGTGACTTGACAGCAGTCAACAGCCACTTAGATTTTGCCTTTGTTTTGTTATTTGTCAGACGTCACAGGTCACATGACTGATTACGCCAATCGAAACCCACATAACCATATAAAAATAAACATTTGTGATTTGTGAAGAATAAAACCTGGATAAGTACAGATTACTAGTATGGTTTGTAATATAAGAATACAACTGTAGATGTCGCTGTAATGTAAAAATATTTGAATTTAATAAAATAATTTATGGGAGTTTTTTCTTAAAAATATGATTTTAAATATACTTAAGTAATTAGTATTTTCCAGTTACTTGTTCAATTGTATGGTGGTAAGCTTATTTTAAATTTAAAAAAATTCAAAAGTGGAAGAGTTCTTCTCCTGTAAATATGCGTGTACTATTAGAAACGTGTATTTATTAGGTTTCCAACACATCATGAACATGAATGAATTAAATGCAATTTTTTTCTTTAAAATAACAAGTCATTTTTAAAAACTTCCTAATATATCTTCAGGTAGAGTTACCATATCGTTAATAATTACGGTTTAAAAAAAATATAATAAAATCACAAAAGTAACTCATTTTTATTTATTATTTTAAAACGCTAACGACGATAATTAAATAATGTTCAGGCCTGGAATAAACGAACGTGACGTATTGCACGTCGCGTTTAAAGCATGTATTTTAATCTGGCACGGAAAACGATAGATTCTATTATTTCATTTATTTTAATTCATTCTATTTATTGATGATGACAAAAAAAGTACATTTTTATTTTAATAATGTTATTAATTACTGTGCACTGTACAGTACAGAATAGTTCGTTTCCGATTACATGCTGGAGTATCGTTTTTTTTTAATTTTTTGAGATCTACATGTATATAGTCAGGGCCGCATCAACCCGTCGGTACAAGGGGGCGTGGTAAATTTTATGTTTTTAGATAAAAACATGATAGTTCTGAACTGCCTACAGAAATTTACACTTAATTTTTGATAGCTGTGTTTGTGACCATAGAAATTTAAACCTAGGCCCTTGTGAGACTATCAAAGTTTCATCAAATGAAGATAAAAATAATTTGATGGCGGCATTAAAATTAACTTTAAATAAGGTGAGGTAAATGTGATGCAGTTTTTATATTAGGTAAACTTTTAAATATATTAAAAGAGTAATACCTACTTATCCATATTTAAATTCTCAAAAAAATACCGAGTTATTTTTAAGAACTAATAATAAGTTGATAATACATATGATCCAAATTTCGAAAACATTGAATTTTATTGTTTATACCATTTTTTAAGGAAGTTAACATATCACATTTGCCCCAGCATTTGGGGTAATAGTAAAAATCATAGGCGTAGCTTTAAATTTTTTCTTGGGGTGGGCCCAGGAATGCAAGCTGTGTGGAGGCACACAACAATTCGCTTAGGAAACTTATTATTTACAGCAAATCCATTCGCCTGAACTAACTAGCACTACTGGCGTGCGTGTTTATGAATATCTATATAAATATATAATTTCAAACATAGATATGACGACGCTGGTAATTAAACTTGTCAATTTAAGCAACCGCTTACCACATTCTCCCCACTTTACCTTACTATCAAATTATTAAATAAATAAATAAATAAATTTGATAGTTTGACGATTTTATCAAACTCCGTCGTGACGTCAAAATTTGATAGTCTGACACGGGCCTACGAAAGATAATAGCTCAAAAGTAAAAAAGGATGCCCTTGAGGGTAAAAATATCAAAATTACAAATACATGCAGTAAATAGGTACATAGAATAAAATATATCTAAAGATGTTTGTTCTGGCGGTTTCGAATACTATAAATTTAAAAGCAAATCTTGGATTGTGGGCATATAATGAGTTCGGCGATTTTTGGATGGATAGTTGCAGATCTTTTTTCTGTTTTGTGGCTGAAGACCTGCAGATGAAAACTACTGATAGTGCTCGTATATAGTACCTACCTATATACAGTGAATTGAGAAATAATATCTAAATCAATCCGACATATAGGATGTATGACCGTCATCTATCTACGTAATATTATTGATCTGTTTAAACAATTCTAATTTCTGATTGGCTCTACCTAATCGCATCAATATGATGAATAAAAATAATACGGCCTATGTTTACTATATTTGGGATTCAAGAATAAAGAACACTTATTGTCATGCAACTTAACCAGTTTTGTACAACTCACCGTTTTCCAGAAATGTATTGTGAGCATTCTTAAGTGGATCATCCTGTATATATTTCTCCAAACATTAGCAAGCATATATGTATTATACATCGTTATTATTAAACTTCATTGTGTTTTCTCATATTTTATGTTGGTGCAAGTAAATGTACAAAGGTTGCATAAGATTGTACTAAGATACCATCATGATTTTTTCTCTTCACATATCAAACATAGTATGTACGTATGTACATACATACCATGCATACATGCATGCAATCATGCATAGTATCTTTTCCCGCAAAGATGAAAGATGAAAGATAAGACAGAAACAAATGCTGTTAGTGAACTGATATCAGTTCAGTTTGAATCGAATTTGTTCAGTAAAAGTCCGTGACAACTGACAACTGACAACTGACAGGACAGAAGCAAATTAATATTGAGTTTGACGTTCGATTTTAATTCGAAGGTAATCTTGTTTACAAATTTATATAAGTTAAAATGCCTGTCAGCCGGTTGGATGTAGTATATAGAAAATTACTTTTAACTAAGTTTTTTACAAAGGGTTGGGGATCCCCGGAGAATTTACAAAGGTCAGTAAACTAAGTGAAGTATTTTTTTAGTTAATAATAAATGTTGAACAAAATATAGGTTAGGTATATTTGTCCTACAAGACAAATATGTATCTTAGGTATACTAAATATAAACCTACAAGGTGATAGTTTTTGCATTCATGGATTTATGCATAAATTTTATATTAGTTGTCAAACTATTTTTGTGTGTCTAAAATAAAATGGAATATGATTTTGGTTTCCAGACTTTTCGACTTTAGACAAGTAATTTCAAACCGAGAGACTTGCTACAAACTTGTGCCTAAAAATTACCCAATTACTATAATAAATGTGAGTATTTATATAATTAACATAGACGTGTGTATATTTTAAATCGAGATAATTCCTAGGAAGTTACAAGGTCTGATTGTCGAATAATAGAAGGTAAATTTAGAAGCCCATTTGCTCTACACTTGCCAGGATTAGTATCAGAAGAAATACATGACTCATTTTTTCAAATGATATTACCTTTGAAATGGAAAAATGATTATAAACCAATCTGTATTCACTTGGCTGGAACAGGGGATCATGTAAGGTGATTTTTCTAAAAATGGTCATTAATAATTTGTGGAATAATAAACATTTGCAGTATTTTTGGCGTAGACGGAACATAATGGCAAAGCCGTTATTAAAAGCAGGTATTGGAGCTATCATATTAGAAAACCCATACTATGGTATTAGAAAACCGAAAGATCAAATTAGATCTAGTTTGCATTATGTTTCCGACATATTTGTGATGGGAGGGTGCCTTGTATTAGAATGTTTAGTCCTTTTAAATTGGTGTGAAATTCTTGGATTTGGACCTTTAGGCGTTACTGGCATTTCAATGGGAGGGCATGTAAGTTACATTAAAATTTAGTAAATAATTTAAATGTCCGTGTTATAAATAAACCTCTGTTCTTATGATTTAACATTCAAATGAGTATGTCTGATCATTCTGCTACCCAGGGAGGCTAGATAAGGAACACGACGTTAACGTAATAGTAGAAATTACTTATATGTAGTTTTTAATGTTAGGGACGCTAGCGCACCCCAATATATTTTCATTATTTATTGATTTATTTATCTAATTCGAAGTAGCCTATATTATATATTTTAAAATGATTAACACATCACAAAAACGTCATGATAGATTTTTAATTAAAACTGCCGCTTTCTTTATCTCTCCTCCACTATTTCAGTACATACTAGTGCCCCCTAATTTGGTTTACATGGAGTTCGTGCCCCTTGTGTAGTCTCCATTCTGCTACCGATCACATCTAAAAAGAGTGAGGGTAAATTAAAGTGTTTTCCTAATTATAAGTACCTATTTAAATTTTATTTATACTAACATTACATTATCCAAACTTCAAGAGATGTAACCTATAAAAAGAATGAAAAGAATGTTATTGTATGTTTCAGTTAATTACCGAAATATTTAGTAAATATTTGTGCAGCCCTTTTTGACATTTCAGGGTCAACAACCTCTATATTAATTTTGCAATTATTAGAAATTTTTTCGTTGCGAAAATTCTCTATGGGGACGCACTAGGTATTTGTACACCAAGAAAAACATATGCACTAGAGCCCTTCTATGTGTCGACTGAAACAAAACAGACTTTAGGGGAGAAGCGGGATTTTAGTTACAGGACAGGACAGGGAGTAAACAGTTGGCATACACGGATGTAGATTGAGACATTCCGTTTTATTGCGAACATTTTTAAGTTGGGCCTAATTTCCTATAAATAAGATCCCACTATTCCCAACTGGATAAATTCGGAGAAAGTACATTCCCTTGCCCAAACAAAGCAACTCACTTGAGACAAATAAACAATTTAATAAAAATATATATGTGAGCCGTTAAACTGGGACAAAACATTTTTTTGTTGTGGTAGCAAATGCGTTTATGGTAGCTAGACTCTTTTGTTGTCCTTGTACACATTTTACTAACAGAAGCTAAAATATTCTAACAAAGTGCATCACTTGGACGATTTCTTTCAATGTACATATCACACTTCATTATTGAAACGATTAATTTTCTCTACTCTCAGGCATCATTCTTACATTAGTTTTTTAAATACAATTACTTATATCGAATATAGATATATTTCTCGGAATCTGACAAAATACTTGAGGTAATAATTATTTTTAATTATTGCATTACAATTTTAATTCACCTATATTTTATACAGGGTGTAACTTTCAATGGGGCTCATTTGTACAGAGGTTGTCTTTGACCTTCTGAAACAGATTTTTACTATAAGTTTGTTTTCTCAAATTCTGTTGTGAAAATCGAATTTCTTTTTAACATATTTTTCTTTATTTTCATACCCCGTTACTTCAGTATAACCTGAAACAACCGCATGTGCTAGCCGCAAGTGCATACCTAATTGGAAGCTTTGGCATGCATTATTGTCAAATCTCATCTTTCTTGATTCATATACATGGTTTTTTCATGTCACATAAAATTAACAATAAAGACTCACAAGCACACCACACCCTCACTAAATATTGAAATAAATAGCTTCTTAAGGTTATACATTTACACTACATTTTATAATCATTTTACTGAAATAAAATACTGAACAAACTGATGTCTATATCACGAAAATGGACATTTTTACACAAATTTTAGACAAATTGTCGTTTGGCACTTCACACTAAACATCTTAACCTGAAGAGGTAGCAACTCCGAAAATGTACATTGTCATATCATTTTTTCCTTGCTAGCTTTTATTTTATTTTGTGTTCTTATTTGCAAATAACCACAGATGAAAATTCTTTTTCTTGTACATATTATGCTAAGAAACTTACATTTGATATAAAAACAATAAACTATTGATTCCATTAACATAAAAGTTATGACATTTATGATCCATCCATGTTTAAGTTATCGGCTAGAGCTAAAGCAAAATCACCTTGCAGTTTTTTCTCTCACTTAGATGGCTTCATTAGCAGCAACAAATTGGCCTAAGCCTTTAGTACTAGTACCCTGCTTATCATGGTCCACTGCATCCTCCGTGTTTACAGAGGTAATATTAATTCCTCCTTGTTCGAATTTTATTTATACTGTTAACATGTTTTAGGGAGTGATGAGCGAATCTATTGACTGGGACATGTTACAAGCACAATATATCTCAAACGAATTATACTGTGATACACTTTCGAAGTTATGTAAAATTGTTGATGACCCTTTTGCGTGTGACCTCAGTAGATTACCAGGTTTGTAACTGACATATATGAGTATTTGAATATTTTCTTATTTAAATATTTTGCCACCTATTATGAACCCTTGACCCAAAAGAATCAGTTTAATGAAATTACTTTTCTCTAAGCAAAAATCTTACACTGAAAAAAGCGGAATCTGATTATATGTACAAATTAAATTTATATATAAAGTAATTAAATAATTTTTTTCCAGATGTTGCATTTGATACAATTCCAGACCTATATAACAGTTCATGCACAAGTTACGTTACACCTCATAAAGTAATAAGTATGTTTAACGTGGCTACTTCAAATTGTCCTACCATAGCTTATAAACAATCTAGTCAAACAAAAACCCTGTTTTCCTCTGGAGAATACTCATTAATGAATTTATTGAAAGAGCCTCATCCATTACTGAAACCTAAAAAAAGTAGAGTAGATGTGAAAAAGCGAGCAAAAGAAGCTCTTTGGTTTATGAGAGGAATGATGGATGAATGTACCCACTTGAAGAACTTTTCAGTGCCATATGACACGTCGCTGATTATTTCTGTTTGTGCAAGAGCAGATGGTTATGTACCTAGAGGCGGAATTTCAACATTAGAAGATATTTGGCCGGGAGCCACGGTGAAATATGTTGATTGTGGACATGTTGGTGCATACATTTGGTACAGGAAAGTGTTCAGGTACGTTCTTAACTCGTAAGATTAATATAATATCTAAATCAGTCGGTCTCTTGTATTGGATTTCAATTATATATGAGGTCTGTTCAGAAGATAACCGAACTTTTTGATTTACGGGCTAATGGAGATATTTAGTGATATGCGGTTGGCAGCATTGCGTTGAGCATAACCTCATCTGTAACCAAATGTTCTTGGATTGTTGATCCTTCTTTATTTTTCGTGATATTGTTATTTGAGTCCAACGTGTTTAAGTGTTAGTTTTTCGAAACGTGCAATTTTCTGGAACAACGATGCAACGTAAATTTTACATGAAACTGAGGAAAACTTTCACTGAAACATTTCTGGGTCATACGCAATGTTACATCAGTCTCGATCCAATGTCAAAGTGATGGTCACTATTTTTTTACTTTAATGGAATTGTGCATTTTGAATTCTTACCTCGAGATGAAACAGTGAACCATGTGTACTATCCGCAAAAAGAGACCAAAGTTGTAGCGAGACAATTCAGCTTTGTCATTTTGTCAGCTTTGTACCAAAAATCAGATTACTTTCCTCTCTCGCCTTCCTTATTCGCCAGATCTGGCTCCTTGCGATTTTTACGAAATTAAAATTAGTGCTTAAAGGATGCCGTTTTCAGATATTGATGACATCAAAGCAAAGTCATCATAGACTTTATAAGCCATTTCAAATGAAGCTATCCAGGATTGCTTTGGGAAATGGAAACACCGCTGGGAAAAGTGTATGAATAGAGGAGGGGGTATTTTGAAGGGGACAACGACCAATAATGTATAAAATTAACAATGAAGTTTAAAAAAATAAGGTTTGGTTATTTTCTGATCAGACCTCATATACAGATTTTTCAAAAGTCTATATTTTTTTAAGGATGAAATTAAGGTTGAACACAGATAGCTCTCGCCCTTCTCTGACATTCATTCATAATTTTGCTGTCACCGTCAAAGGCATTAAAAATGTTGGCTTTTAATTAAAACCATTCTATTAAAGTACTTTACTTTTCTTTAATAAATTCGCTCCTTTATGATTATGGGGTAATTTAAACAAAATTGTCGTTTTATTTACAAGAGCAGGTAAATAATACATCATTCTAATATTTTTTTAGAGAATCCATTATCGAGGCTTTTAACAGAGCCAAGAAAAAATTGCCTCCACCATCCCCTAGTAAATATGAAGTTTGATGGAACTAGTTGCGTCCTAAAGACCAGTATTTACTGACAAAAAATTTGCTATGTGCCTTTTGTTAATTGTTTTGTAATTTTATTTTTCAAGGATTAATTGTTACTTGTACCTGACTACATTATAATGATGTAAGTTGTGATATATTTTTAAATATAAAAATTGTTTGTAAGAAATAGACTGATTTGTTTAATAGGAAAACGATATTAACTGAAGTCATATTGAAAATAATATCACTTTTTACCCTTGTCCCAACTAACATTTTTTCATCCTACTATATGATCCTTCCTTGTTGAGTTGCTTGCCTACTATTTTTTATTTTATTTATATTATGAGTAAATGGTAAAAGGAATGAATGACGGTAAATTCAAATTTGATAAAAATCCATATATACATAATTAGGAAAATATTGCTGAGAAAACTATTGATATAACTTATAAGCAAGCAACATAAATGTGGGAAATTCATTTTCATCGTTACTTTTCAATTTAAAAAATTTTTCAAGACAAAAAAATAAAAATCATTAAAAATTAAAAATGGATTCCAGTTCATACCCATTTGGTTCATCCAGTAAAGTATTATTATTATTATTAAAAGTTGTCATACTATTCATGACTCTCGGCAAATATTCCATCTACCTATTAAATTTTACTTGCTATTTTGTACCTAAATTTTATTAGCTGCTGCAAATTTACATGGAAATTATTTCAGTTGCCACAACATAGCCAATCAAATGTCGTTATTTGATGAATTTTATAACAAATATTGCCCATGTGTCTATATGATTTATAATTAAGATTATGTATTTTATTTTCTTAATTGGCTGGAAATACACTAGTAAATGGTTATAATATACATTTTACTACAAAATCTTGTGGTAAATAAGTTTTTTTTATTATTATGTTGACGAAACTTTTAACTAACGCGCATGTGTCTATATGATTTATAATTAAGTACGTATTTTTATTTTCTTAATTAGTTGTAAAAGCACTAGTAAATGGTCATAATATACATTTTACCAGAAAATCTTGAGGTAGGCAAGTTTGTCAACCTGGATTGAGGGGAGGCAATTGCCCCCCCCCCCCAATATTATTGCAATTGAGCTAAAAAAATTAAACTCGGAGTTAAACCTCAAGGGAGTGCAATTTCAATAGTCGTATGGCAACAGATCGTAGTTAAACCGCAGATAGGCGGGAGAAAGCAATTTACTTATTTTTTGCGAATGTAGTATACACAGTGGTTTCTTCTATATTGTTTATAAAGTTATAAAGCACAGCGCCCTCTTTTTATTGGGGCTTTTGGATTTAGAGTTTATTGTCCAGTTTTTTTTTTGGGGGGGGGGTGTATTGGGCTTTATGTGTTGGGAACAAGTTATTTGCACAAATCGAATTTTTCGAGCGCGTTCTTTGAGCTAGCATAGGGTGATTGATTTTGGGTAGTTCTTAAAATTCCTTAGGTTATTCCCTGTGCAATTTCAATTATATTCAAACACTTGAGGAATGTAGAAAACCTTCGCTAATAAAATCAGCTATTGTTAATAAAATAGGTAATGTTAACAGAATTTTAAATTATGTCAATAGGAAAATGAGCAAAACAGTGCGAGATTGAAGTGAACCACAATTTGGAGAAGGATATTACGAAAAAATGGTTTCAAATGCTGTAAGGTGAAAAAAGTGTAGCTCTTGAGCTTGAGGGAGGAAGATAAACCGAGGAGATTAGGGTTCTGTGGTGGCGACAAGAAAGAAAGAGGGAAAATCCTTTTATATGCAGAGGAATTCTCTGGTCAGATGTGCCTAATTTTTGTAACAATGGATTTTTTTCATTGGCACGGAGAAACTGCATTTCAACAGAGGTTTTCAGTAAACGTTTGGGTTAGAATCCTTGATACCTAAATCATAGGACCTTACTTCTATTATGGTAAACTAGTGGGTGCCAGAGATTGCAGATTCTTAGCTTTAAAAAAGTACATTATATTCATAAAATTTTTTGTAGTTGGCTTGTTTAAAACAATTTCTATATGTTAATCTACATTTTTGATACCAAAATTATAAAAGTGTAATAAATATAAAAGATAAAGGCAACATGTAGTACATCGCATGAAAGAGGAAAAAAACCAGGCATTTTTTTTTTTTTTTTTCGGTTACCATTTTTTTTTTCCGCGTAGAGGGCGCAGCAAATTACATACGATACTTCAAATATCTGCTTACACCAGGTGAAAGATATCAATTTTGCCATGAAATTTTATTCAAATAAGTTTTCTCCATCTCTTAAAATAAAAAAGTTAAACGGACCTAAACTTTCGGTACATATCCGTTTTTTTAAGATTTTTCATAAAGTTGGCCATGGATCTCAAATTTGTTTCTACAAGCATCAAGGCCTCAAAAAATGTAACAAAAAACATATAAAGATTTTTGATGTGCATCGTGTATTAAGTGAGATACATAGGAGTGCCCCTCTTATAGTAGACAGCCTGTATAATGATAAAAAAATAAATGGATATATTTAGCAACTAAAAGGTTGAAATAATTTTTGTTTAGTAATGTATATTTATAAGAATGAAAATGAAAATACTTGATAACTGTCATATATATTACGTATTAATATTTAATTCAACAGGGCAGTTTGAAAACAATAAATAAATAAAAATTCATTCGATTAATAACTGAATACCGATTACATAAAACATTTGGCATTTAATCTTTTTTTATAATGTTGCATATAGAAGAAATATTTAAACATAAATCTTGTGAAGTATATACTATAATTATATTTTGCCATCTATAGTAAAATGTTAAACTACCACAATTCAAATTTTACAATATACATATTATCTTTCTAAATTAATGTTCTAAAGACAAAATATTGATATATAGACATATCACACATACATATTTAACATTGGTTCTTTTGTCACGGTTTTACTTTATATTAATGTTCGCTTATTTGACCGCAATTAGTTAAAGTACCTTCTAATTCCACAAGTTTAAAGAGACAAAACTATTTCAAATTTACATATTACTGTTTATACTATACCTATACAAATTAATGGGAAATCTCGTGGAACAATTAAAATAATTAAAAATAGATTTCAATTTTACAAATTAGCGTTTGTTATTTTTTCATTTGATTTCATGAAAAAAACACGTCTTTGTTTATGTAGCCTTAAGGCAGCGTTTGACAACTTAAAATATTTGAAATAATAGAAATGTGCTAGTAAAATTGTGATCTCTTTGTACATTTTAAAGTTTTTATAAAAGAATTATTGAATATCACTTTTAAATCTTAGTTTGCTGTATATTATACTGTGATATATCCAATAATGTATAATAAACAGTGGACTAGTTAAATAAATACAGAAGATAATGTATGTGTGACATACACGTTGATACAATAAAAGAGTAAAAGTCATGTATACTGTACAATAAAATTATGAATCATGGCTTAAATTAACTATAAAACAGATAAAACACCCCTCACTTTTTTGTTAATGGTGTAGATGTTAACTTTCTGATGAGTGGTCCGTGTAACTTTGAACTTAAACTTATCTTGGCAAAAACTGGGGTAGAATATTTATATCGAGACATTTGATGTTTGGAAGTTTCAGCTTTTGCAATTAAATGGGCCAAGTCAACAATTGTGATTTTGATGTCAGAATACTTATAGGTAGTGTAATGAACTAATGTTGGCGTCCAGATTTTTGGTAAATCCATTATTTCATTTAATATTCCAATAGACAAACAACAGGCTGCTGCCGCTTGAATCGAAGGTCTGATATGGCTCATATCGTACTCCAGAAGAGCTAGTTCCAGTAAATACTTCCCCAGAGTGTGATGGTCCATTCTAACTTGAGCAATTTTATTATAGCGCCTCAGAAAATGCAAAGAGATAGGGCGTCCTAAATTAAAATTAAGTTTTTCCAAAATGTCCCTTTCCATTTGAACAATCTGTGTTTTCGAAAAAGTATCATCACAAATGTAGACATAATCATCTAGGTCAGGATAATATGTTTGTTCGTATTTCCTGGCGATAATCATTGCCGTGATCCCGACCAACTGCAGACTGGCACAACTAATATATATGTTCTCTTGCAAATACCGGTCAACAATTGCTATACACAAGAATAAAGTTTCAACAAATAACTTAAAATCCATATGAACCTCTATTAGCCAGTTCACAAGTATTGCACGCATTTTTGGTGACGATTGATGACCTTGTAAATAATGTTTCCTTATTGGAAATTTACATTCCAGCTCTAGCAAATAATTGAATATATCTGCTATATATTCAGTTACCATTTGAGGATCATTCTTGGTATTCTCGTCAGGGTCAATAATAGATATCTGTTTTGAAGAATATGATTCACTGGAATTTTTTGTGCTAACACCCGTGACAGTCTTCTTTGGTAATACTTGTGGTGGGCCCATAACACCATCTTTTTTTGCCATGCCATTATTATTACTATTTACATTGGAAAGTTTATTAGCTTCACTCAAGTTAACGTCACCTAAAGCTGTTCTTTTGGGAACAGTGCCTCTTGGAGGTATAACAGCCTTTGTAGCTACTTTTGCATGCATGTTTTCTTGATTCAAGGAATTTTCTACAGTACGATGTCTTTGTGCCATCTTGAAATGAAATAAATGGTATTAAAATAACTGTATATTTAATAAATAAAGCTTATTATCAGATTTATCATACATTTATAATTTATGTATGTAGTAATTTTGCAATATTTATCATTTATTTCTACCAGTATTTCTTTCATGTTTAACTACAACTCTTTAATATAAATAGATTAGAATATATCCCAAGTGAATTACTGAAAAGACATAATAAAAGCAAATAAAGCGTGTATATAATACGTACAGCATATTAATTTTGAAAATACAGTTTTTTAAATTAAACTTAAAATTATTTTTAAACACATTAATAATTATTTTTATATTTATTTATATCCTCATTATCAGATCATTTCTTATGTACTTGTACTTTAAAAAAATAAATAAAATACAACAAATCTATTTCATTATTTCTTCAACATTAGAATAGGTACTTATTTATCTTATGAAGAACTGTTTATTATTTGTTTTTAAATATCTTATTATTTTTTAATTACAAAATTATTACTATGTTCTTTATGTCACAAGACATTAATACTTTAATATTATGTTTTGAACAATACTGCTACTAAATACAAATACAATTAACAAAAAATACCACACAGAAAAACTTTTAAACAAAAACTTTACTTCAACCGCCATAAGAAATGACCGTTATAGTTTTTAAATCAAATTCAAATGCTTCATTCTCTATTTCTTGACTTAATGAACATGGAAAAATAACTGATTTAAACTTACCTTTTAAAATTATATAATACTTTGTAAATTGTCAATAAATAAAAATTTGCAGATTAATTTCAGTCGTTCACTTCACAGTACATGAGTAAAGATTGCTGGCCGCCACCTTTAATTTGATGTAACAGAATTAGGATTGCCAGTATTGCCATATACCAACGGCATTGAACTGACAAGTAAACAACGGACCTTTAAATGCATTGCTTTACTGTAATTGGTTGATGGTCAATATCATTCTTAAAAACAGCCAATAGTGTTTCGGATACGGAAATAGAGAAAGAGAATGTAGATCCTTAGCTATCTTTCTTTACTTCTTTGATGTAATTGGCTAAAAATTCAATTTCAGATCTTTTAAATAGTAGCTTTAAGATTTAGGGCACACCATATACATACTATCTAGATAATAAGTATATGGGGCACACGCAACCACATGATACAAAATTAATCATGAACAGAACGCAAAGGTTATTCACAGCCTAATTGGTAGTAAACAAAATCCTCAATTGGATTCCGTTGTAGTTTTTTCCATGTAATCTTGTCTTTAGGTAATAGAAAAAATTAGTGAAAAGCGGAAATTTAAAACATTCGTAATAATTGTGTTATATTTTTATACCTCTATATACAACATAGGTATATCTTCAATTAGTTTCATAAACTCTCGAAAATATTATACTCGGTGCCGCAACAATAAAATGGAATTTCCAGCATATTTACTATTTTATATTTTACTTAATTTTCCTGTACCTACTTGCATCTAATAATATTTTTTATACATTTTCAGGGACGGAGTTATACAGAATCTGAAGTTCGTGATATATGTGCTGCAGTGTTAAGGGGTAAAATCTTTATTCTCATAAAATATTGAACTATTCGTTACAGTTTCTAGACAAGGCGAAAACCTCGCATTCGTGGGAGAAATTTTCCGACTCGATTTTTTTGCATATTCAGATTTGTAAGATGTTCCTTAACAAGAATCAAGATGATGCCGGCCTGGAATCTGGTGCCCATTTGTTTAAACTAACTTTTTTTAAACAAATTGTAAAAATTTGTGTTTTCACTCCGGAAATTTTTATTTAGGTTTTTTGGCACATTATAAACAAAAAAGTTCCTATGCACTATGCCTCTAAAATTGATAGTTTTAAAGTTATAAACAATTTAAGTTGCTAAAAATGCGAAAATGACGATTTTCAACGGCCGATTTCCGGGTAAAAAATTGTTATTTTTGATGTTCCCAGGTACCTAAATTAAAGTTTAAACATCCCCCTACAAGATGCTGAAGAGTTTTT